TGTGACACAAAACACGCATGAGAGAAAGGACGTGACACACACCAGAACTGCTCTGCCCGGCACACGGGAATCCAATGATAAAAAGTAAGCCCTTCCTTTGATGCGTCCAAATAACCTGTCACAGGATACCCCCTGCACCGGACTCATTTCAAAAATCCCTCCAGGCGAGGCACAGACTTGCACCCACTCCCAACCACTCTCTGGGGCTTTGCCCTGCACTTATCTTTCCAAGTGCAGGGGATGCCAATCCATCTTGGATGCAGAGGAGGGGCACCTGGGCTGGCTCAGAGGTTCCTGCCATCGTCAGACTACTAGGAGCCAACTGCGAGAAAGAAAACCATAAGCAAGACGTGAGTTGTGTGGCATGGGGCTCAAACCCCAGTGATCCCCCTACTCACCAGCACCCAGGCCCTGACCGGAGTCAGACACTGTGGATGTCACGTTCCGGGATACCTGAGTGAGTGAGACACAAACTTAGAAGGCATCTCTAAAGCTGCAGTGGATCCCCGCTCCTCCTGCTGCCTCCCCAACTCACCTACAAGGCTCCTCTCTCTTCAGCTGCTCCCAAGACCGTCCCTGCAAATGACATGGGCAAATGCTCAAACACTCAGTTCTCAAACATTTAGAGATTGCTCACAAGGAAAGCCAAAAACCTCTAAACCCTAGACACTGGTTCCTACTCTTCCTAGCCGGGACTCTATACACCCAAGCAGGGCATCGCAAGACCATCCTGCTCACAGACTGGACAGCCATTGGCTCCACTGTCTAAGGGAACTGACATGTTGATGGGACACTGAGCAATATTCTATCTACCCACTGATCCACGGAGCAGGGCAGAGCAGTTCCAGGCTGACCCCAAGTCAGACACCCCACACCTGTGACCACACACACCATGTGACACAATTAAGAGACGAAGGACACAAAACACGCACGAGACAAAGGACGTGACACACACCAGAACTGCTCTGCCCGGCACACGGGAATCCAATGATAAAAAGTAAGCCCTTCCTTTGATGCATCCAAATAATCTGTCACAGGATACCCCTTGCACCGGACTAATTGCAAAAATCCCTCCAGGCGAGGCACAGACTTGCACCCACTCCCAACCACTCTCTGGGGCTTTGCCCTGCACTTATCTTTCTGAGAGCCGGGGATGTCAATCCATCTTGGATGCAGAGGAGGAGCACCTGGGCTGGCTCAGAGGTTCCTGCCATCGTCAGACTACTAGGAGCCAACTGCGAGAAAGAAAACCATAAGCAATACGTGAGTTGTGTGGCATGGGGCTCAAACCCCAGTGATCCCCCTACTCACCAGCACCCAGGCCCTGACCGGAGTCGGACACTGTGGATGTCACGTTCCGGGATACCTGAGTGAGTGAGACACAAAATTAGAAGGCATCTCTAAAGCTGCAGTGGATCCCCGCTCCTCCTGCTGCCTCCCCAACTCACCTACAAGGCTCCTCTCTCTTCAGCTGCTCCCAAGACCGCCCCTGCAAATGACATGGGCAAATGCTCAAACACACAGCTCTCAAATATTTAGGGATTGCTCACAACGAAAGCCAAAAACCTCTAAACCCTAGACACTGGTTCCTACTCTACCCAGTCGGGACCCTATACACCCAAGCAAGGCATCGCAAGACCATCCTGCTCACAGACTGGACAGCCATCGGCTCCACTGTCTAAGGGAACTGACATGTTGATGGGAGACTCTGAGCAATATTCTATCTACCCACTGATCCACGGAGCAGGGCAGAGCAGTTCCAGGCTGACCCCAAGTCAGACACCCCACACCTGTGACCACACACACCATGTGACACAAAACACGCATGAGAGAAAGGACGTGACACACACCAGAACTGCTCTGCCCGGCACACGGGAATCCAATGATAAAAAGGAAGCCCTTCCTTTGATGCGTCCAAATAACCTGTCACAGGATACCCCCTGCACCGGACTAATTGCAAAAATCCCTCCAGGCGAGGCACAGACTTGCACCCACTCCCAACCACTCTCTGGGGCTTTGCCCTGCACTTATCTTTCTGAGAGCCGGGGATGTCAATCCAGCTTTGATGCAGAGGAGGAGCACCTGGGCTGGCTCAGAGGTTCCTGCCATCGTCAGACTACTAGGAGCCAACTGCGAGAAAGAAAACCATAAGCAATACGTGAGTTGTGTGGCATGGGGCTCAAACCCCAGTGATCCCCCTACTCACCAGCACCCAGGCCCTGACCGGAGTCGGACACCGTGGATGTCACGTTCCAGGATACCTGAGTGAGTGAGACACAAAATTAGAAGGCATCTCTAAAGCTGCAGTGGATCCCCGCTCCTCCTGCTGCCTCCCCAACTCACCTACAAGGCTCCTCTCTCTTCAGCTGCTCCCAAGACCGCCCCTGCAAATGACATGGGCAAATGCTCAAACACTCAGTTCTCAAACATTTAGAGATTGCTCACAAGGAAAGCCAAAAACCTCTAAACCCTAGACACTGGTTCCTACTCTTCCTAGCCGGGACTCTATACACCCAAGCAGGGCATCGCAAGACCATCCTGCTCACCGACTGGACAGCCATCGGCTCCACTGTCTAAGGGAACTGACATGTTGATGGGAGACTCTGAGCAATATTCTATCTACCCACTGATCCACGGAGCAGGGCAGAGCAGTTCCAGGCTGACCCCAAGTCAGACACCCCACACCTGTGACCACACACACCATGTGACACAATTAAGAGACGAAGGACACAAAACACGCACGAGACAAAGGACGTGACACACACCAGAACTGCTCTGCCCGGCACACGGGAATCCAATGATAAAAAGTAAGCCCTTCCTTTGATGCGTCCAAATAACCTGTTCCAGGATACCCCCTGCACCGGACTCATTTCAAAAATCCCTCCAGGCGAGGCACAGACTTGCACCCACTCCCAACCCCTCTCTGGGTCTTTGCCCTGCACTTATCTTTCCAAGTGCAGGGGATGTCAATCCATCTTGGATGCAGAGGAGGGGCACCTGGGCTGGCTCAGAGGTTCCTGCCATCGTCAGACTACTCGGAGTCAACTGCAAGAAAGAAAACCAGACACCATATCTGAGTAGTGTGACACGTGGCCCCAGCCCCCATGATCCCTCTACTCACTCTCAACGAGGCAGGTCCTCGGGTCGCTGGGTCTGACCAGACTTGGACAGCGTGCTGTCATCTTCTGGGATACCTGAGTGAGCGAGAGACAAAATTAGAGGGCATCTCTAAAGCTGCAGTGGATCCCCGCTCCTCCTGCTGCCTCCCCAACTCACCTACAAGGCTCCTCTCTCTTCGGCTGCTCCCAAGACCGCCCCTGCAAATGAAATGGGCAAAAGCTCAAACACTCAGCTCTCAAACATTTAGGGATTGCTCACAACGAAAGCCAAAAACCTCTAAATCCTAGACACTGATTCCTACTCTACCCAGTCGGGACCCTATACACCCAAGCAGGGTATCGCAAGACCATCCTGCTCACCGACTGGACAGCCATCGGCTCCACTGTCTAAGGGAACTGACATGTTGATGGGAGACTCTGAGCAATATTCTATCTACCCACTGATCCACGGAGCAGGGCAGAGCAGTTCCAGGCTGACCCCAAGTCAGACACCCCACACCTGTGACCACACACACCATGTGACACAATTAAGAGACGAAGGACACAAAACACGCACGAGACAAAGAACGTGACACACACCAGAACTGCTCTGCCCGGCACACGGGAATCCAATGATAAAAAGTAAGCCCTTCCTTTGATGCATCCAAATAATCTGTCACAGGATACCCCTTGCACCGGACTCATTTCAAAAATCCCTCCAGGCAAGGCACAGACTTGCACCCACTCCCAACCCCTCTCTGGGGCTTTGCCCTGCACTTATCTTTCCGAGAGCCGGGGATGTCAATCCAGCTTTGATGCAGAGGAGGGGCACCTGGGCTGGCTCAGAGGTTCCTGCCATCGTCAGACTACTAGGAGCCAACTGCGAGAAAGAAAACCATAAGCAATACGTGAGTTGTGTGGCATGGGGCTCAAACCCCAGTGATCCCCCTACTCACCAGCACCCAGGCCCTGACCGGAGTCAGACACTGTGGATGTCACGTTCCGGGATACCTGAGTGAGTGAGACACAAAATTAGAAGGCATCTCTAAAGCTGCAGTGGATCCCCGCTCCTCCTGCTGCCTCCCCAACTCACCTACAAGGCTCCTCTCTCTTCAGCTGCTCCCAAGACCGCCCCTGCAAATGACATGGGCAAATGCTCAAACACACAGCTCTCAAACATTTAGGGATTGCTCACAACGAAAGTCAAAAACCTCTAAACCCTAGACACTGGTTCCTACTCTTCCTAGCCGGGACCCTATACACCCAAGCAGGGTATCGCAAGACCATCCTGCTCACAGACTGGACAGCCATCGGCTCCACTGTCTAAGGGAACTGACATGTTGATGGGAGACTCTGAGCAATATTCTATCTACCCACTGATCCACGGAGCAGGGCAGAGCAGTTCCAGGCTGACCCCAAGTCAGACACCCCACACCTGTGACCACACACACCATGTGACACAAAACACGCACGAGAGAAAAGACGTGACACACACCAGAACTGCTCTGCCCGGCACACGGGAATCCAATGATAAAAAGTAAGCCCTTCCTTTGATGCGTCCAAATAACCTGTTCCAGGATACCCCCTGCACCGGACTCATTGCAAAAATCCCTCCAGGCGAGGCACAGACTTGCACCCACTCCCAACCCCTCTCTGGGTCTTTGCCCTGCACTTATCTTTCCAAGAGCAGGGGATGCCAATCCATCTTGGATGCAGAGGAGGGGCACCTGGGCTGGCTCAGAGGTTCCTGCCATCGTCAGACTACTCGGAGTCAACTGCAAGAAAGAAAACCAGACACCATATCTGAGTAGTGTGGCATGTGGCCCCAGCCCCCATGATCCCTCTACTCACTCTCAACGAGGCAGGTCCTCGGGGCGCTGACTCTGACGAGACTTGGACAATGTGCTGTCATCTCCTGGGATACATGAGCGAGAGAGAGACAAAATTAGAGGGCATCTGTAAAGCTGTAGTGGATTCCTGCTCCTCCTGCTGCCTCCCCGACTCACCTCCAATGCTCATCTGCTCCCAAAGGTTAGCTGGATGGCACCTGCAATCCAAAAAGCTCAGTGCTTCATTGCTGATCCTTTCAATACTCGGAGATTACCTACAAGGACAGCTCCAGAGGAGCAAACTTTGTCCGTCACCTCACTGTGAGTTGTGTTCGGCCATCTGAGGCTGCCTACATCTCCTGCAAAAAAACCCAGAGGCAACTGTGAGTACTTAGATACTGCCCAAGAGTTTGCTGCTCCCATGGCAGTTTCTGTCTGACACCCCTCGACCGTGACCTCTTACAGGCAGGGTCCCTGTCACGTTGGACTGCACGTTAGAAGTCTGTGCACTGCCTGTAAAACAAAAAAACAAGTATGTACACAGATTCACCACAAATACACCGCCTGCAAAAGAGCAGCTAGTTTTGTCCTGCAGTCACTGCTCACCTTCCTCACCGGGCTCACCTTCCCTCTGGTGCCTATCGTCTGCTGGGCTGAGGGCTCTGCATCCTAAAAAAAAACAAAAAACCAAAACTAAACCACCAAACCATCCAAATGAACAATAAACCTAGGGCCAAAAGTCATGTCTTGGCTCTGACCTCACATGACAACCCACCTTCTGACTGTGCTCCTCCAGTCTCTTCTGTTCTTCTCTGCTTTACATCCAGTCCCTCTGACGCTGCAAAGAAATGAGTTACCAAAGTCAGCCATATAGATGGAGAGACCTTAACTGCTGTGCAATTCTCATTTCTCCTTAGACAAGCCCTCTGGGGTCCAAAGACAACCTGCACAAACAAACACTGACCTAACTTTAAGGTCCTGCTGTACCGCTCCCATTGGCTCTGGACAAGCCCGCTCTCGTGACTGCACACACACTGCAGGCAGGGGCTGCCTCCAGGAGGACTGGAGAACTGCTGCCCTGAGTGGCTGAGCCTATCCACAGGGTAACTGGAAAGTCTCCTTTCTACTCCACCTACCCCCAACTCTACACAGCAGGGCAGAGCAGTTCCAGGCCCAACACAAACTCCAAGGACACATTTCCAGACAAGTGCTGTGGTGCAACCAGGAGAGAGAACTCTGAGAAAGGAACGACGCCAAAATGGATGTGCTGCCGCACGAGAAGACGGAGGATACGGTAAGACTGAACGGAGGAGGCTCTGAGGAGCCTGAAAAGACACTCTAACAGAATGGCCTGGGACAAGAACTGCCTACAAAATTGCTAAGATGGATGGGAGACAATGCTATGTTCAGAATCTTCTTGGATTCTCACAAGTCCTGGGCGGTTACAAGGGATGACTGCACGGCATGGTCACCGATACAAACTGTAAGGAGGCTGTAAAAGACACCTGACCTGACACTTCTCAGATGCAATTCTGATGCACATCCAAGCTAGCGAGCCAAAGAACGGATGGTATGGGCACTGGGCTGGGCAGTGCAAAGGTTCAAGACCCTAGGAATGATGCCTTGACATCTCAGATAAGAACTTCGAGGGCAGAAAGCAAAGACATGGTGATTATGAATTGTAAGACACGAAACACAGACTGGACAAAGGACATGACACAGACCTGAACGGCTCTGCCCTGCACATCCTACTCCAGTGATGAAAAGTAAACTGCTCCTCCTATGTGTGCCAAGGGCCTGTTAGGGCAGACCCTTTCCCCTCTGCTCATTTGAAAATCCCTCCCTCCTAACCATAAAACTGGACCCAGCTCTCATCCCCTCTCCAGGTGGTTGTCCTCCACTTATCTTTCCCATAGTCGGGGATGTGAATCCATCTTCGATGCAAAGGAAGGATGCCTGGCTGGCTCACAGGGTCGTGCGATCCCTGACTCGCTCGGCTACGAGAAAGAAAACCGAAACTGAGGCAAGAGTCCAGAAGCACGTGGATGATAACCCCGCAATTGGCTACTCACCCTCCCCTGAGCTGAGAGGTTCTGGGGCCACTGGCTCCAACCCGAGTTGGAGGCTGCTGCCGTCACCGTCTGCTGTACCTGGGTGAGTGAGAAAAAAAGTTACGTGGTGTTTCTGAAAGTAAGGGAGACCCCAGGACCTCCTCGTTACCTCCCTGACTCAACCTGAATGCTCCTTCTTTGCCAAAGGCAGGCCGGATGGCACCCGCAGCTGGAAAAGGTCGAGCCTTAATTGATGAGCCTCGTAGTACTAGGGGATTACTCACAAGGACAGCTGAAGACCATCAAACCTAATTGGCAGGTGGCTCCGGCCCTCTGAGGCTGCACACATTCTCTGCAAAGTAAAAAAGCCAAAGGCAAATGTATATACTGAGGTACTGCCTGAAAGGATGGTTTTCCTGTGGTAGCTCCTACCTACCTCTCCCGGACCTCTTACCGACAGGGTCCCTGAAGCATTGGACTGTCTGTTAGAAGGTGGCAGAACCCCTGGAAAACACAAGAAACAAAGCACGTGCACAGATTCACCACAACACCTGTAAAAGACCATCTAGTCCTGTCCTGGAGTCAGTGCTCACCTTGCTCACCAGTACTCACCCGGATCACCTCCCCTCCGGTGCCTAGAGCCTCCTGGGACCAGGGCTCTGCATCTGAAAACAAAGAAAAACCAAACCAAACCAACAAAATCCTTAACACATCAAATAAATGTGGAGCTAAAAGTCACATCTTTGTGCTGATGTCAGGTGATGACCCACCTTCTTGCTCTGCTCCTCTGGCCTCTTTTCTGTTCAACTCTGCTTTACACCCTGTCCTTCTGACATGGTAAAGAAACCCTAACCAAAGTCACCCAGACAGATAGGGAGAGCTGAAAGAGTCTCCCTTCTCTTTTAGCGAACCACCCAGGGTCACTGCCTGCAGCCAAAGACTGCAACTGTAATCACACGGAATATCTGGGTAAATGAGAGGAAAACTTAAGTGGCACATCTGAAAAGTCAGTGGATGCCTTCACAGGCATTTAGGGGGCTCCTGGACACTGCTTTCCACCCATACTACCTTCAAAACACCCCTAGCAATTCCTAAGCTGGCACCTGAGCCCTCACTCCATCTCTGGGCTGTAACCCCCCACTGACTACTTGCAAACCTGCCTGTCTGTAGCCATCTTCAACACAGAGTAGCTTCACCTCAGGACCAGATAACACTTGTGAAAAAATGCCAAGCTGCAGTTGAGATGATCGGGAGATCCCAAAAGACGGAAGGCTCCTAAGGAAAAGAAAAAAAGATAACAAATTACAAAAGCACCTTACCAACACAGCACACAAAATTATTAAATTTAAAAACCCTGCATTTGAGTATAATCCTCTTCATTGCCATATATAGCTCTGCTTCTTTGGATGCCAAAGCTGATGCTTCAATAAAGCAGAAATAGCTTGAGAAGTTCCATTCAATAAAAGAACAGGAGAGCTCTTATCCCATTGAAGCCTGGCTGCTGAATGACCTCCCTGGGCAAAGGCTGGGGTTAATATACCCCTGGCGGTGCCCACCTCCCTTCCTGTGAGGCCCCGGGGGAAAAAGAGTAGCCCAATCCAAGACAGTATAAAGGCTCTGGGAGCAGCAGCACCGGTTTGCATCTCTGACTTAAAATCAGGATAGGTAAAGAGCCTGACGGAGAAAAGGACTCCTAACGTGAGCAGGTATTATAGTTGGTATTGGATTGAGGGTTGGTATTGGATTCGGGCAGGGGCTGGAGCGGAGGGACTGGAGCAGAATAGCGGGAGTTGGAGCGGCGGGAAGGGGAGCGGCGCGGCGCGGCGCGGGCTGGAGCGGCGGGAAGGGGAGCGGCGCGGCGCGGCGCGGGCTGGAGCGGCGGGAAGGGGAGCGGCGCGCGGGCTGGGGCAGCGCGGCGTGGCCGCGTCCTACCTGCGGGACAAGGGTGAGCCTGGCGGTACCGGAACGAGGCGCGGAGGGGGCCGGAAGGAGCCCCGGGGCTGCCGGGACCCTCCCGCGGTGCTGGGCTGAGCTCCCGGGGTGCTTCGCGATGGGGGATGTGGAGTGAGGTAATAACGAGAATCAGGAAGTGCTTCCACGGACCCGCGCCCGGTTCGGTGGCTGTGCCGAGGTTTGAACCGGGAAAGAGTCGCTGTCCTGCGGTGAGGACCGGGGGAAATGGCCTTACAATGAGAGTGGAGAGCTCTGCACAGAGGAAATAAAACTCACTGGGTTTAGTAGCTAAAATATCAGGGGAAATTACTGTCTGGTTACAGCAGTAAGCTTCCCACAGCAGTTTCAGGTGCCTGCCTTTGGAGACCGGCCCCAAAGTAGAAACTCCTCTCGACTGCTCCTGAGAGAGGCAATTGGAACTTTAGGTGCTCAGGAAAGCGATTTCCTCTCCTAAGTCCTGGTTCACCTGCCCGAGCACCTACAGTGTTTATATTCCACCTCTCTCTCTGCTTTGCACGTTTGTATCAATGAAAGAAACTTACAAGGTCTTCCTCCAGTCTGAGCTGCATCCTCTCTGCACCCCCACACTCTCCCACCTGTTCACGTGTGCTGCTCCCCTCTCCTGCGCTGCTTCCTGGAACAGGGCTCATCCCTCGGCACCTTCCTCGAGCGATAATCCGGGTACATCAGGTGCTTCCCCCAGCCCCTGCGAGACGCTCTCACCATCACTGCTTGAGAGATTTCCTGGGATCGACTGCTCCCCTGCAGAAGCTCCCTATAAAAAGTGCCCCACCGAGCACGGCCCGCCCCTTGTCACCCTCACTGCCCACACCTGGGGGCCCGCCCCTTGTCACCCTCACTGCCCACACCTGGGGCTGTCCCGCCCCTTGTCACCCTCACTGCCCACACCTGGGGCTGTCCCGCATGGGAGGGAAGCACGGGTGGAGCCACAGGCGGGCGCGCGGGGAGAGGAGGCGGGGCGAGCCGGGGGGCGGGGTCGGCGCGAGCAGGAGGGAGGGGCAGGTGCCCGCTCCGCTTCCCTGTGGGCTCTGGGGTTCTTTTGGGCTGGTTTTGGGGGACTGCGCACACCCTCCCCTGGTCACAGCCCCGCCCTAGCTCGCTGCACCCAGCTGCACTCCCCGTACCCCTTGCTCAGCTCCGCGGGGATTTGTGCCTCCTCTGAAGGTGGCAAATGTCTACAAAGCGAGTCGGGAAGCCTAAGAGCTGCAGCCCCCGAGCCCCGCTGCGGTTTCCCCGCCGTCACCCGGCACGTCCTGCCCCGCAGCACCGCTCCCGCTGCCGCCCTCGAACACAAGGAACAAACCCCCGTGCCCCCAGCACAGGCCGGTGCCTGCGGCCGGGAGCGGCCGCAGCCCCCAACGACGGGCGGGGCGCGCCGGGAGGGGCCGCGCGGGGCGGGGGCGGGTCCCGCGGCTGCGACCCCGCGGGGAAGGGACCCCCGGGCCGGCCCCGTCCGGCATCGCCGCTGGCCCTGCTCGGCCACCGCCCCTCGCCCACAGTTTTAACATTAGAGAGCCAAGTTTAATCCAGAGCCTGCAAGCTCCCACGTGCAGGGGATTTCCATAGACTTGTTATTTTTCTCTTTTTAAGGACCACGTTGCTAAAGTCAGGGAAATACAATCAACATTCCCTAAACACCATTACTTCTACATCCACCTGTGATCAGGGGCCGAAGGGCAGCAGCCTGCCCTGGACGGGCTGCAGGGATGGTGTGAAGGCCACTGTTCCCCAGGTTTGAAGGACTCTGGCCATGATCCCCGGCCCATGGTCGCTTGCGGGGGAGAAAGGCGGCGGCGCAGCCCCGATAGCATCTCCAGGGCACGGCGGGAGCGGGAGCGGGAGCGGGAGCGGGAGCGGGGGCGGGAGCAGGAGCGGGAGCGGGAGCCGAGCGGAACGGGGCGAGCGGGGGGGGGGCGGCGCCGCCGCCTGGGGTCCTCGCGCGCCGCGGCTCCGAGACGGGGGCTGCCCGCGCCGGTGCCTGCCGCCGCCCACGAACCTGCCGCCCGCACCCGGCGCCGCCGAGCCCCCCGCCCCGTCCCCACAGCGGGAAGCGGCGCGGCGAGACGGCGCTGCGGGCGCGGGGCGGGGGTCCGGGTCGCGGCGGCGGTCAGGCAACAGGATAGACGCCTCTCTTAGGCGAGGGGGCCTCTCGCCGCCATCTTTAGTGTGGCCTCGGCTAAGTTCCGGTCGTGGCGGCGCCATCTTGAGTGTGGCGTCGGGGCGAACTTCCGGGCCGGGGCCGCCATCTTTAGTGTGGTCGTTCCGGTCCTGGCGGCGCCATCTTTACTGTGGGCTTGGCAAACTTCCGGGCCGGGGCCTTGGAGGACTTCCGGTGGCTCTCTACTTCCGGTGACCGAGTTTACCCAAATTAGCGTCCCTCCTCGCTAATTTCTGCGCTTTCACCCCAAAAAATCTTCGTGTTATTCCCCCCACACACTGGGATGGGACTGGGATCACTGGGGAGGGAATTGGGATGGGACTGGGGGCAGTGGGAAAGGACTGGCCTGGGACTGGGCGAACTGGGGAAGGACTGGATTGCACTGTACGAGGACACTTGGGAAGGAATGGGTGCGCTGGCTTGCACTGAGAGAAGTCGCAAGGCTGAGACTTCTGGAGAGGGACTGGGGGCAGTAGGGAGGGACTGGGATGGGACTGAGGGCACTGGAGATGCTCCCAGTCCCACCCCAGTGCCCCCATTCTCATCCCAGTCCCTTCCCACTTCTCTCAGTGCAAGCCAGTGCACCCATTCCTTCCCAAGTGTCCTGCAGTGCAACCCAGTCCTTCCCCAGTTTGCCCAGTCCCAGCCCAGTCCCTTCCCACTGCCCCCAGTCCCATCCCAATTCCCTCCCCGGTGATTCCAGTCCTATCCCAGTGGTGCCCCAGTGTGTCCTAGTGCCTCCCCAGTGCCTCTCAGTCCTATCCCAGTGCCTCCAGTCCCTCCCCAGAGAATCCCCGTCCCAGCCCAGTTCCCCCAAGTGCCCCCAGGGCCTCTCCAGTGCCCTCAGTTGTACTGGGAAGGGACTGGGAATCACTTAGGAGGGACTGGGATGGGACTAGGCAAGCTGGGGAAGGACTGGGTTGAACTGCAGGGGGACGCTTGGGAGGGAAAGGAGGTTGTGGGTTGCAGTGGGGGAAGTGGGGAGAGACTGGGATGGGAGTGGGGGCACTGGGGTGGGACTGGGAGCACTGGTGGCACTGGGCTAGGACTGGGGGAACTGGGGAGGGAGCAGGGAGGGACGGCGAGGGGGCTGGGAAGGGAACTGGGATGGTACTGGGATGGGAATGGGATGCATGGGAGAAAGGAATGGAATGCAGTGGGGAGGGACTGGGAGCAATGGGAAAGCCACTGCAGGGACGGGGATT